ATTGGAAGTTTATAAGAAAATACTTGGGCATCACAGATACCTCTTAGTGGCAAGGATCCACGCCAAAAATGACATTGACAAACCGTCGCCATCCGCAGGAAAAACACTTTTTCTTCTATATATGTATATATATATGCAACCCGTGATGGCCAAACCTAAGATGTTTTTTTAGACTTCCTACACCACGTAGGAAAACAGATACTGTAAATTTAAAACATACGTATTTAAGCACTTGCAGGACTTTTAAAATGGCATCCTAAAGAAGACTTAAATGACTAACGAGGCCACAAAAGGTCGAACTGTGCAGCTAAAGGGGTACGAACTCCCTTCACGTGCCAGGGATGTGGTCTTCCACTGTGGTTACACTTGTTGTGGCAGGAATGAATAAATAGCTACCTATCCAGACCCATGTTATTAATTTTTTATTGTATACAGTGTAATTTGAATCCGACTAAATCTTTATAGTTATTAGACAAACAAAGCAATACTTCAGCTCGACCACACATGCTTTTACAGCTGAAGATTCTTGGAAAGCCTGACTTTGTCTTAATTGACACGCTATAGGACAAATGTATGTGTAATTTTAAGCTATCATAAAGTTTTAATTTGTGTGGTCAGATGTTTTAAAGCAAACAGTTTTCCTCTGGTTTTCGTGTGTTTTTGAGTCCCAATATGGTTGGTTTAAATGAAAATAATTTCATCTCATTGGGTCGGCTGTGCTGCAAAACAATCGATATAAGACAGCTGCATTTTAGACATTCCTAAACCGCTGAACCCCAACAAGTTTCTGGACATTGTGTTTCTCATTTTTCACTGCAAAATAAAGTCCTGACACCATAATCATGGCTAGAAGTAGTGAGAGTTCATAATCACAGATGAGTCCTTCAAGAACCACTGGAGAGTCAAAAATCCAGAGATTCTTTAAGTTTGTACAGCTTCTGGTTCTGATTAATGATGTGATTTTGGCGATTAAAAAAATAAAACTAAAAAATGACATGCCTTTCAAACCTACCAGCTAATTTTGGGTGTCAGAGGGTTAAAATCTGTAGAATAGGCAAAGTAAAGTAATGTGAAAACGGTTCTCAAGTTCTAAAGTTCATGTCTCTTCTTACACACGATTGTACCTCTGATTTTTTTTTTCTCTTTTTATCAAACAACTTGAACCAAACCAACTGAGTTGCCATGAAAGTGCTACAACAGTCCCTCTCTTACTGCTGCCTATGAACAGAATTAATAGCACTTTTACTTGGAGGAAGGAAGGTCAAAACAGAATCTCACATATTGAAATGGCCGGGACGAAATATTCAACGGCATAATTTACATAATGTCTATGTCTATCCCTTGTTGCTCTGAAAACATCCCAGTTTAATCCACTGGCTACATCACTCAAGGTCACGGCACTGAGGAATAAAAATCACTGAGTGCAAGGACCGGAGTGACCAGCGACAAAACCAAAACAACCTTTGACTGTCAGCCCCGATTAGAGCCAATGTTTGACCCTCAAAGTTAAGATGCGAGATTTGACAGCTAACCGTGGAGGGTTGACTGACAGCTGTCAACGCCCTGTTTCCCCTTCCCCGCTGCGCAGCCAGCAATCATCATCTATCAGTAGCAGGACTGTGTCTCTTTCGCTCCCTCTCTCTCTTGCTTAATCCCTCACTCAGTGTAACAACTGCCTGTAGCTTTGACCTGGACCCCGCTAATACATAATCTGCCATCTCCAGAACTAATATGCCATGACCCTCCCCCACCATCACGGCAATCGCGGCTAGTGTGTCACGCAGAGCAGTAGAACCGACCCGAGCCGGGACCAGGTCGCCTGATGGGAGTCCGCAAACTGCAAACACACTTTGCAGGGTGGAAAGTAAAGAAGTCCTCCAATGTCATACACGGTGACTGTGCCAGTGTGGGGGGATGGGGTGTGAGTCCCAGTTAGTCATATAAAGGCAGGGTCCTGCTCAAGGGTATTCCACGAAGCATCACATAGTGAGGAGGGCGGGGGCATGCCATCTGTATTTACACATGGGCTATTAATTCAAAGGAAAAGTCTTTGGGGTTGTGGATGCAACATACTGCTGTACCTAATGAATTATCTGAGGCTGTCAGCTCATGCATGATTAGATTTAGAAGAATGCAAACGTGTTATTGCTGCTGTTACAGTGTCGTCTATTTAATCGACAACAGAAGCTGTATCTTGTAAGTTGGAAATGCCATCTACTTTTCTAAACAAGTGTCCAAAACCTCCAAATCTCTATTTAACCCACATGAAAAATATTTTTCTTCTAAATGTATTAGCTCAGCCAACCATTTTGTAAAATAAAAAAAAAAACTAAGGAGTAAATTTGCAGTGTTTTCTGACAATGGACCGACCCTTTAACCAGAAGCAAATCTGCCTACGATTACCACCAAAACCCACGTTGCCTAGCAACATACAATTTAGGAATATGCTTTCAGAGCAGCTTTGCGGACGTGTCCATTAACAGATGAAATTACCAAAGCAACAAATGTCAGCCACATGCAAATAAGGTCTACTCTGCTGAATGTGTGTGTACTAACAATGTGATGTATGTGTGTGTGTGGCAGACTCGGAAAAAAAAAATCCATTTTCCAAAGCGTGTGTCAGTTTGTGTAAAGAACAGCAGCCTGTTTTGACAGCCAAGCAATGGAGATCTTTTAATATCTGCTCTCTTGGGCCGAAATATCGCAGAGGCGACAACAAAACTGCCACGGTTAAATCATTTGTTCCCGATCCACCTTGGAAGTGTCAAGTCCATTTCAACCTACTGACTATGTACGGTCTTTTACAGGAAGCCAGGAGGCTGGTCTTAGCAGAATGAGACTATCTATGGATTAGTGCAGCACTGGAAACGGAGGATCTGAAGGATTAAACCTCTCTCTATCTTCTCATTACAACCTGCACAGAGAAAATGACACAATCACACATCAGCCGTCAGCACTGTAATTCGATTTTATCTGTCCAGTTATGCTGCTAGTCAGCCTCTAGTGAGCTGGTGTTGATGGAGAAATCAGCCTTTATTGCCCATAATGTCTGGAATCGACTTTTATCAGGCAATGGGATTGAAAAGAACAGAATTTAGGTAGCAGCTCTCATTGTGCTGAACTGAGGCTTTAATCTGATATGGGTATCAAAATAAATGCGAGTGACTGCACAATGAGGATGCAGTGACTTTAATTTTAATCTGGAGTTAAAATAACACAAATCAGTGTTAAATAAATTTCAGCTGGAGGAAAAAAAAAAAAAAAGCTACCATAAAGAAAAGTTTGACGAATAAAGCCTCGGAGCAGATCTGTTGGAGAAGAACTAGACAAAGCTAATTGCTATTCCGTGCAGGTCGGTGGTACACCTTGACAGCAGCAGGACTAAAGGAATGCTGTGTGGCCCGGGTGGCTATAAAGCTTTTCGAGGCTACTCTGAAGCACCCTTATTATCATAATGAAAGAAGACATCTATGTTTACTACAACAGGAGCTTGAGGGGCTGTGGGGAGATGGAGCAAGGCAGAGCGCAGAGGACTTTATCAAAAACAGCTGCAGTTACAATGACACCACAGCTGAAGAGCCGCATACGACTAATGCTGCAATCACCATTATGCAACTTCCTGAATTCCATATAGTTGCAGCAGATATAAGTGATTTTAAATAATGGCCTGCAATTTCGCTTTTGCTCCAATTACTTACCAAGGACATTACGTATAGCTGACAAGAGCTGCATGAGGAGAAATCATATCCGTGCAAGGAGGCTGTGGCGAACTCTATCACACATACTGTACACAGATGCACGCCGTCAAAAAATAACACAGATGCACGCCTGGATACCTCCTGTTGCCACACAGTTAACACTACTGTGCACAACATCTGACTTTTCTAGTCAGAGAAATCGTAATGTGGAGCGTTCACACATGAATGCGGCGAATGACAGAGTGTAACATGAAGACGGTGCACAGTTGTTAAAATTTAAAACGTATCAGAAAGGGTGCTGACAGCTGTTCCTCCCAAATCTTTTATATTGCCTCTCGTCAGTGCCATTTTGTTTTGTATTTAATGGGGCGATATCTCATTCTGACAAAAGAACTGCACGAGATTACTGAAATAATAAAGGACTTCACAGAAAGCATAAGGAATTCTGACAAATCTGGCTCGCTCAGAGATAAGCAGACGAGAAAGCGAGATATGACTATCATTTTAGGATCATAACAAATGCAAAAAAAACCCGAAAGTAGGACAGGGGATGGATTGCCAGAATGTTTAAAGCAAAACTTATCCTTCTATGGTATTAATTCAAAATCTGAACAACGGTTTTGGAAAGGAGATAGGCAGAAACATTTGGATTTCGACTGGCCTAGATAAGAAGAAAAGACACATCATTTATCTACTGTTGATATAATGAGCACCAGCACAGAACAGCAAACAAATGACAGCACTGACTAGAAAGATTAAACGATTCAGAAAGTCCTCTATTAATATTCTCCCTGGGTTTGGATTGTCTTAAGGTCAAGTATCATGCATCACATACCAGTAAGCATTCTGAGCTACACAGATTTCAATGTACTCCTGATCAGAATGTGAGTATAAAGCAAAACACAAAAGCCCTTATTTGACAGAGATGGTGTTCACATACAAATGATTCATCACCATAAAGGATGAGAACAGATTCACAGTGCCTTCTTTGGCGCAAAGAAATGGATTCAACCTAAGACTCAAGTTGTTTTCACTACACTGAATGGCTCTTGGAAAATGTCAACCAAATTGTAAAAACATGATATGATTCTTAATGCAGCAAGACTGCTTCATGAAGCTATTGAAGGCAATGAGAGGAATGGAAAGTGCTATCTTACATAAACCAGGCAAGAAATGAAGAGCTCAAGCACAAATAAACTTCCTTATCTATTAAAAGCATGTGAAGCAGCCAAGAGTAAGCAAGACCAAATCAGTCAAGAAATCAAACAGCAGATAAGCATGGAAGAAGAAAAAAGCATTTACTTGTGTCTGGAGACGCCATAGTGGACACGATGACTGGTGGACCTGTGCGCCGACTTAGCTTCTGGTTTACAGCCAGGGCACCTTGGCCTTGAACAGGCGCTCCCACAGGGACGAGGGCATTGTCTGATGCAGGTCCCCCACCCTTACGCATCAGCTGAGGACTAGGGTGAGGGCTATGCATGGGCGACAATGGCAGTAAGTTTCTGTCCCTCTTCATCAGCTCCATGGGCACTGTGTAATTGGTAGAGTATGCTTTCGGTACCTGTTGTGGCGGCTGCTGCAAAGCTGGCATGGATACAGGCATCTGCTGTGGCATACCTGGCATGGAATGAATAGATCCCGGTATTGCAGGCATTGACCCAGTCATCTGCTGGGGCATTATCTGCATACCCTGCATAGGCACCCCCGGCATCGCCATCCCAGAAGAGTAGGCCGACATTGGTCTTGACTGAACAGGCATAATGGCTCCAGCGTACGGCCCTGGGGAACGAGGTGGTTGGCCTGGGTAGCCACCAGAGGCTTCAAGGAGGTGCTGAGAAGGGGCACTGCTGGGCCTCCTACTCATTACTTCTCCCATCCGTGGGGAGATGGTTTGCATTGCCCCAGGTGTCGGTGGGGGCATTAGTTGGGGATCCACAGCTAAAGCCTGTGGAGGATGTGGCGGATGGTGGTGGTGCTGCTGGTGGTAAATGTCCGAGCGGTGGCTGAAGCTATTGGAGCGGCCTCGCATGGGTGTCTGGGGTTGGGAGGGGGCTGGCGTGGCCTCAATGGGTCGCTTGCAGTTGTGGACCAAGCGAGACAGGACCCGAGCCTGGCCAAGGTTGGGGGCAACGGTGCGGACATCGTTCTCCTCCATTACAGCCAGCATGCTAGTTGAGTCAAAACCCTGCTGGATGAGGGAGGAGATGGTGCTCTCAGAAAGGCCCTCATTTCGCAGCAGAGAAAGGAACTCAGGATCGGCTGTCTTCTTGGGGTCAACAGGCAAAGGCGTCGGTGGGGCAGTTGGGGGAGGAGCAGGAAGTGGAGCAGGAAGTGGAGTAGGTGGGGGAGGTGGGGCAGTGGTTGGGGCAGCCTGTACAGGTACAGGTGCAGGTGCAGCTGGGACAACTGCTGCTGTCTGCACCGGAGCAGGTGGAGCAGGAAGTGGAGCCGCCATCATAGCGTTCGGGTCGGAGAGGGGCATCGTAGGTGGAGGTGGCAGGGGCTGTTGCTGTTGCAGCTGCAACTGTTCTTGCTGAAGTTGCTGTTGCTGTAACTGCTGTTGTTGAAGCTGTTGCTGTTGTAATTGCTGTTGCTGAAGTTGTTGCTGTTGTATTTGCTGTTGCTGAAGCTGCTGCTGTTGTAACTGTTGCTGCTGGAGTTGCTGCTGTTGTATCTGTTGTTGTTGAAGTTGTTGCTGTTGTTGCAATTGTTGCTGCTGCTGTAACTGTTGCTGCTGTATTTGCTGTTGCTGTTGCAACTGCTGCTGTTGTTGAATGGTGTACGGCGAGGCTGTATCTTGCCTCATAACCATGCCTTGAGTGGCTGGATCTACCACTAGACAGGTAGCTGCCTGCTGCTGCGGATCAAGCGGTCGGCCATTAACATCAGTATAGACCGGCTGACCGGTCAGAGGTGGAGGCTCACTAGCATACCGAGGAGATGTGTGCTCCATACCATAGTGGGAAGGAGATGGGTCTCGGGACGGGATTCGCTGTTGGCCATCTTGCATCATCTTGGCAACATTTACAGCACCAGGTTCCCTGTAAGCCCGACTCAACTCATGGGCGGTTGGAGGAGGGGGAGGGGGAGGTAGAGGCGATGAGGGTGGTGGAGGTACTGCCCTCCCCGCCTGACTTTGATCCCATGTAGCACGAGCGCCTGGTGCCATCCCAAAATGAGAGCCTGACCTGCTGAGCGGATGAGGATGAGGCGGCGGCGGCTGGTGTTCAGATCGGTAAAAGCCCTCAGGTGGCCGAGGAGTCATGGCCGGGTCATGGGAGTAGTAATCCTGAGGTGGAATGGATCCTCGGTGAGCCATGGGCGCTCGTTCGTAGTGGTTTAGATCCGGCACCGAGCCCTTCCTCAGCCCCCGTGGGTCGTGTCGCTCTGCGTAAACCTGTCCGTAGAGAGAGTCTTGGTAGGAATATGGGTCGCGTTTCAAATCCAGGTCAGGGGGACGCACCCCTGGTGGAGGTTCGTACCAACCTCCTCCCTCTCCGTATGACAGAGAGCTCCGCCGGCCTGCTACTCTTGCCTGCTGCTCGTACACACTGTCAGCCCTCTCCCACTGACCCTCATTCCCTCCTAACGTGTCCCAACTGTGGGAGCGTCCAAGATTCAACTGTTTGTTGGTGACAAGCATTGGCAAAAAAGGGAAAAAAGCCTAAAAAAGCGTTAAGGACAAAACAACAACAACACAAAACAGAATTAAGCTCCTTACAGTTTGTTTGAAAGTCCTCTTTTAAGTCTTCATGTACGGTAGCGTCAAAAAACAGAAGGAAGAGAGGAAGGAGGAGAGCAAGCAGAAAAGAAGATGAAGCACCGTCTACCGTTTCACCTGATATCAGGTTGTAATATTGTAAGTCCGCGCTATCGGGTGACTCCCGTTTTGGTTGGCAGTCCTTGAATAATTAATCTCTGGTCATGCTGGCTTGTTGTGTGTGAGGAAAGAGGACACCACACACAAACACATCCACATCACACCAAACCACACAAACACTGCAGAGGTAGCACAGTTATTCCACGGAAGAAACGGCAACAGGGTGCATGCTTGACACGGCCAACAAACATTCATTTACAAAAAAAAAAAGAAAAAAAATGAAAGAAGAGGATAGGTTGGGTTATAGGTTGGGATGGGCAGGGGCTTGTACTAATCCAATAGGGTTTATCTCTCCCTTCTCTGGGACATTTTACTCGCTCTGCCGATTGCTATGAGGGATTACATCTAAATAAAGCCTGTTTAATTCCACTTCCTACTGTGACGTCATGTGAACCAGATACAAGCGTATCTGGTGATAGTGGTGATGATGATGATGATGTTGATGATGATGGTAATGACTTTGATTCCACCCTATAAACCCATTGCCCCCGCCCTCAGAGACACCTACCTGAAGCTGTTGATGATGTGCTGCCGTCAACAGGTTTCAGATCTTAGTTTGCCAGATTCACAGCACGAGGGGAGGAGGGGAGGCCAGGCAAGGCGCACAGCTTCATTGAAAACAAATGAAATACCGTTCTCTCTGCTAAGTCCCATGTGCTGTCAGTAAACATCAAATCCACTCTGATTGGACACTAATCCTCCAGGCCCCATGCTTGCAGCAGAGCCACCACGCAACTGCTGCCCAACTCCCTCTGAAATGTCCTTGATGCCTCCGTGGCGCTCACTGTCACTGCCTCCCTCTTCTTGATTCGGGATCACTCAGACCTGCTGTCTGCACGGTAACTCCGGGACGCTGAAAATCACAATGCACGGACACTGCAGAATGTGCAACGAATAAGACCGGCAACATTTGTGCTGTTTGCCCTCAAGGCGACTATGATTCTCTGTTATCAATACTACTGTTGGGGAAAGCATAAATATGTGAAACGCATGCCTCATGCAGAAATCCTGTTTCATTTGGCCGTTTGTATTACAACATGAAATCTAACCATATGCATCTTACTGCGAGTAAAATGCAGCACCTTCCCCCTCTTTCACAAATCTCCTCTGATCTCCTTCACTTAGAGAGGCTCTGTAATCTGGATTTGCCCCTTTGCGAGAGAAAAGTAAAACACGGGCGTGTGGTGCATCTGTGTGCGTATGTGTGTCGAGGGGGGGAGGGTTCTTTTTGTAACAGTAGTTAATCCAAAGCACCTCCAACCTTTGCCATGCAAAAACACAAGCACAAACAAAACACAACACAAGCTCATTCCGCTTCTCTTAAATATGCCTGAGTGGGGGAAAAAAAAAAAAAGCGATTTACTATAATTCTACACTATGGCTAAATGTAATTAATACATTTATCGTTTTTGTTTAACCAAGGTTACGGTGAGTGTACTGCTCTGAGTGCGTGTCTGCCCACCTGGCTTCCTGCATTTATGATATCTCACTTCATGTCACTGCGACTGAAACCGGATCCCTGCAGGATCCTTTTTAAATAATGCATGAAAACACATGTAAGGTGAGGAAGTGTCCATTTCCATCCAAATCTAATCTGGGAGGTAACCATAGCAAGGGCTGGTAATACATATTTTAGACTGTGAACAAAGTCTCTGTCGGCATCAGCGTTTTGAGAGAAGTTCCTGAATATCTCACCGAGGGCCCGTGGAAACTGTGCAGGCATGACAGTCTTTGGCACTAAAATCTTGTTTAATCACAGTTGTGTAATTAGAGTAGGAAGAGATCAGAGAGGGAGCCGAGTATTCTGCTGTTTTCACAAGATGACAGGAAAACGCTGATGACAGTGGCTCGAAAACCAATTCCACAGATGATGGAGAACTCTTTTGGTAAGGTCGAGAGACCATTAGCCTGCTTGGCATTAAAAAAAAAGAAGAAGAAGAAATGAGGATGGGAAGGAGAGGAGGCAAGAGTGAGCGAGATCTAAAACTGACTGGAAAGATGAATTATTAAATCAAAACTGAGAGATGAAAAAAAAATCACTTTTGAATCCCATTTTGATTTTATTAAACTGTCAGGGTTTTGCTGTTATAAAGTCAATCAAGTTTTACTGTCATTACATGTATGAGTGTCATTCATCAACCAAAGGCACAATGTCTTTCCTGTGTTTAACCCTCTGAACTCCAAGCAATTGAAGGGAGGTTTTTTTTCTTTTTTTTTTTTCTGTCACATTTTTACTCGTTGTGGAATCCTTTTAATCAGCAATATAAAGTCCTTGGCATTTATGAAAACAGCACAACCACGGCTAGGAGAGGGAACTCAAAAATGACTTCTACGCAGCATAACGAAGGTAAAAACGTAGAATTTTCTTGATTATTCATTCTGGAAAGATTGACGATGCCTGAAATCAACATGAACAACATTTACCCAAGTGTCTACATGTGTGACAAAATGGTGACACTACATACAGTAGATGTTTTACTACTTACATTTGTTCTTATACGTGTCTCCTATTTACTTAGATTAAACACAGCCTACAGTTTAGCCGAAAAGTCACACAACTGTTAGACTGATTTATTAATCCCCAGAGGGAAATCCAGAAATTCTGTTGGTCACAGCAGAGTTAGCCGTGGTTTTATGGTTGTGTCAACAAGCTCAGGATTTTTTTTGTTTTTTTTGAGCAAACTGTTTATTTTTAACGGTTTCTTAAGTGAGACGAGTTTCTTGAAACATCCCGATTTTAAGCTGAGATTAGGATCG